GAAGGGCGCGTGGGCATGGACTTGGTCAAAGTCAAGGGAATTGCAGACTGGCCAACTCCTCAGAACACTTCGGACGTACGGAAGTTCCGTGGCTTTGCCAACTTCTACTGACGATTCATCCACGACTTCAGTGCCATCTGCAAACCGCTGGACCGACTTACGGGCAATAATCCCTGGCAGTGGGGCAAGGAAGAGCAATGTGCATTCGACGAGATCAAACGACGATTCTGTGAAAGCCCGGTCCTCTGCATCTAAGACCCGGAACGGAAGACACGAGTTGAGGTCGACGCCTCCGGGTATGCCACCGGTGCGGTCCTGTCCCAAGAGGGCGACGATGGAAAGTTTCACCTGATCGCGTACCACTCCGAGTCCATGAACGACACTGAACAGAACTACGAGATCTACGACAAAGAGATGCTCGCGATCATCTGTGCCCTGCAGGCATGGCGTCACTACCTTGAAGGTCTCCCCTCCCAGTTTGAGATCGAGTCGGACCACAAGAGCCTCGAGTACTGGAGGACGGCGCAGAACCTCACTCGCAGACAGGCGCGATGGGCCCTGTATCTATCGCGGTTTGACTTCGTCATCACCCACAAGCCTGGTGTCTCTAACGGATGCGCGGACGCGCTATTGAGACGACCGGACTATCAGCACGGTGATGGTGAAGACAACCTGGCTCAAACGGTGCTCCGCCCCGAACAGTTCCGTATCCTGGCGAGTCGACGGAGACACCTTGCGGTCGTACCGGACAAGGCTCTCCTGAAGCGCATCAGGGAGTGTCAGGACTTCGAACCTGCGGTCGTGGAAGCCCTGAAGCATGTGAAGAAGCTCGGCCCTGCAGCACTGCGAAATGACCTGGTCGATTGGAACATCGAACAGGATCTCCTCCAGTATCGAGGCAAGATCTACATTCCAAATGATCAGGAGCTGCGGACCGAGCTGGTACGGCTTCACCACGACTCTCCTCTGGCAGGACACCCCGGAGTTTGGAAGACGGTCGAGCTGCTGTCGCGCAACTATCACTGGTACGGCATGGCTCAATTCGTAAAGGACTACGTACGGACTTGCGACGCTTGCCATCGAGGGAAGACATCACGTATGAAACCCTATGGACCGCTGCAGCCGAACGAAATTCCGGAGGGACCGATGCGCATCATGACGACGGACTTCATCATTGGACTTCCCAAGGTCACGGTAGCCGGAGTCGAGTACGACGCCATTCAGGTCATGGCGGATCGGCACAGCAAGATGGTACACTTCGCTGCAACAGACGAGGAGGTCGACGCTGAAGGAGTGGCTTGGAACCTCATCCACGATCATGTATCACGTACGACTGCACGGTGTTCCGCGAAAGATCATCTCAGACCGAGGACCGCAGTTCTCAAGCAAGTTGTTCCGCGCGGTCCTTAAGGGTCTTGGCATCGAGAGCGCATTATCGACGGCATACCACCCTCAGACCGACGGTCAGTTTGAATGCTGGAACCAGGAGCTGGAAGCCTCCCTCCGCATGTTCTGTTCTCTGCGACGAGACGATTGGGTCCACTGGCTACCAATTGCGGAGTTTGCCTTTAACTCACGGGTTCACTCGGCCACTGGGTACTCGCCCTTCTTCCTGATGTACGGATACGACCCGGAGTTTCACATTCCGGTTCTCGACACGGAAGTACCAGCGGCGGACGAACGGCGAGAGGAACTACGAAAGGCACGGGAGGATGCAACTGCGGCACTGGGTCTAGCGGCCGAACGGATGAAGGAGCACTTTGATAAACACGTTCGAGAGCTACCGACCATCGTAGCTGGACAGAAGGTCTGGCTCGACACCCGCAATCTGCGCATCACGGG